AGAAAGGTAAAGAAGCAAGAATAAGAAGAAAAGAAGAAGAAGGTAAGAAGGTAAAGAAGCAAGAAGGCAGAAGGCAGAAATTGCAAAGAAGGTGAATTGCAACAGTTGCAAGAAAGGCAAGAATATGCAAGAAGGTAAATAGCTGCAAGAAGTGCAAGAAGGTAAGAAGTTGCAAGAAAGGTAAGAAGCAGCAAGAATGCAAGAAGGCAAGAAGAAGAAGGTGCAAGAAATGCAAGAAGAAGGTGCAAGAAGGTAAAGAAGGTCAAAGAAGGCAAGAAAGGCAAGAACAATAAGAAAGAAAGGCCAAGAATACAAGAAGCCAAGAATGCAAAAGAAGGCAAGAAGGTAATAGAAGGTGCTATCAGGTATATATATATATATATATATATATATATATATATATATATATATGGCATATATATGTTATATATATATATATAGGAGTATATATATATATATAGGTATATATATATATATATATATATATATATATATATATATATATATATATATATATATATATATATATATATATATATATATATATATAACTAAAGAAAGGTATAAATAGGTGTATTAAGAGATAAGAAAAAGGTAGGTGTATAAGACAAAGGTAAAGGTAGGTAACAGGTGTCGGCAAATAAGATGCTAATGCTGGCGCGACGCTTAATACGCAGAAACATATAGCAAGAGGCGTCAAGAAGCAAGTAAGAAGGCAAGAAAATGCAAGAAATATGGGTTACAAACAGGCAAACATGTGGCTAGTTAGCTAACCTATGGCTAGAGCATGCATCCATACTTTCATTGTGTACGCAGTTACATACAGGTATACACTACACACACGCGTTGCATTGAATTGCCTTGCGCTGCACTGCAATGTAACGTATCCCATCTACACAGCATCACATCACGTGATATGACATTACAAAGACAAAGATTTAAAAACACCTTACAATATATTGTAGCACACACACATACAGACATTCACGCGCATTCGGAATCTGTCTTTTCCAGGTGAAAGTGACGTCTTCCCGCAACCATGGTCACTGCCTGATGCTCAGAGCAAGGTTTGTTTGCCGAGCGAAAGCTGGCACAGCTCTCTGGCAACCTGAGGCCCAACCGGCGAAACTCAGGCAAGGTTCCGAAAGCCACGCAAGGGACATGTACGCAAGGGTTTGCAGTTTGATCAAGACCGTAGAACCTGGAGGCGTGAGGAATTCGAGCAGAGAAGCTTGAGCATCAGCAAAAACCCGTTGTCGAGCTGCCCGAGCTGCCGTATTGTTTTGCCAGGTAGGCCTCAGTTGTCTCCTTCCTTGCGCCTGTGCCGCCATGATGCGCAATCTGATGGTGCTCCTTGTGGTGGGCGCTTTGGCCGACAAGGCCGAGCAAGCCGACAAGCCACAGGCAGAGGCAGTCGAGGCAGCCGAGCAGGGTGAATTGAGTGCTGGCCCTGGCGAGAACAGCTCCTGGAACTTTGTCTATTGCAACTGCGGCCTCTCATGTGTGAAGCAAGTGGACAACTGGTACATCTTCAACTTGGGCCAAGCCTGTGCCTGCAATGCCTGCCCCGAAACCAACTCAACAGAGGCAAAGCTGCGAGGCGCAAAAGCGGTCCCGTCCTCTCCGTCCTCTCCGCCCGTTCCGTCCGCTCAGTCCAAGATGGCTTCGCTGGAAGCTGTGCCTCCGACAAAGAGCGCACCGACCGGGAGCAAAGCAAAGACCTGGGACGGCGCCACCATGCCGGGCAGCAACCTCTTGTACTGCAGCTTGGCATTGCCAACATTCGCATGTTTTGGGTTGCTTGTTTTTTTTTTTTTTTTTTTTTTTTTTTTTGTGAAGCCAGCAGGGCAATCGGCTCGTGTTACCTGCACGTTGCTTGATTTTCAACGCGAGCGAGGCCAATGCGGCAAGCAGTGCGTGGATGGACGAATGCTCGGCCTGTACACCTACTATTGCTTTCGCTATGGTTGCAAAGCCTGCTGAGTGATAGGTGAGCTGAGGTGAAGTACAGAGAGCGGTAGCTTGTATCAACTGGACAGGACCTGTACAGATAAGATCTTGTGATGGGGTACTGCGGGGGTGTAATCACGGCAAGAGCCATGTGCACCCTGTCAGCAGCATTTTGTAGCAGGGCGAGCATCAAGACTGCCCGGCTTTCGGTACAGGATGGTCGTTTTGAAAGACCACTGCAGGACCATTGCATGGCCTCATGACCATAGCGTGGCTTGCTACACCAGAAGTCGCACGTCCCGTGCGCATGAAGACCCTTGTAAAGATGGAGGCTGCGCAACAGCTTGCATCTTGCATTTGGTGCAAATGCGTCTGGCGCAAAAGAGGGTCCAGGCGCGAGCAGCGAATATGGCGTGGGCGCTGCAGGGAGCCACAAGATGGGGTCATGCCACCCAGGGGTGGGAGCGCAGCCCTTTGAGGCTATTTGAAGGGTAAGCAAGTGAGCCGTACAAGAGCTCGCTGTGATCGAGCTGCCCGAGCTGCCGTATTGTTTTGCCAGGTAGGCCTCAGTTGTCTCCTTCCTTGCGCCTGTGCCGCCATGATGCGCAATCTGATGGTGCTCCTTGTGGTGGGCGCTTTGGCCGACAAGGCCGAGCAAGCCGACAAGCCACAGGCAGAGGCAGTCAAGGCAGCCGAGCAGGGTGAATTGAGTGCTGGCCCTGGCGAGAACAGCTCCTGGAACTTTGTCTATTGCAACTGCGGCCTCTCATGTGTGAAGCAAGTGGACAACTGGTACATCTTCAACTTGGGCCAAGCCTGTGCCTGCAATGCCTGCCCCGAAACCAACTCAACAGAGGCAAAGCTGCGAGGCGCAAAAGCGGTCCCGTCCTCTCCGTCCTCTCCGCCCGTTCCGTCCGCTCAGTCCAAGATGGCTTCGCTGGAAGCTGTGCCTTCGACAAAGAGCGCACCGACCGGGAGCAAAGCAAAGACCTGGGACGGCGCCACCATGCCGGGCAGCAACCTCTTGTACTGCAGCTTGGCATTGCCAACATTCGCATGTTTTGGGTTGCTTGTTGTTTTTTTTTTTTTTTTTTTTTTTTGTGAAGCCACCAGGGCAATCGGCTCGTGTTACCTGCATGTTGCTTGATTTTCAACGCGAGCGAGGCCAGTGCGGCAAGCAGTGCGTGGATGGACGAATGCTTGGCCTGTACACCTACTATTGCTTTCGCTATGGTTGCAAAGCCTGCTGAGTGATAGGTGAGCTGAGGTGAAGTACAGAGAGCGGTAGCTTGTATCAACTGGACAGGACCTGTACAGATAAGATCTTGTGATGGGGTACTGCGGGGGGGTGTAATCACGGCAAGAGCCATGTGCACCCTGTCAGCAGCATTTTGTAGCAGGGCGAGCATCAAGACTGCCCGGCTTTCGGTACAGGATGGTCGCTTTGAAAGACCACTGCAGGACCATTGCATGGCCTCATGACCATAGCGTGGCTTGCTACACCAGAAGTCGCACGTCCCGTGCGCATGAAGACCCTTGTAAAGATGGAGGCTGCGCAACAGCTTGCATCTTGCATTTGGTGCAAATGCGTCTGGCGCAAAAGAGGGTCCAGGCGCGAGCAGCTTTGGGGGAATATGGCCCGGGCGCTGCAGGGATCCACAAGATGGGGTCATGCCATCCACAGGCCTGGCCTCATGGGGTGGGGGCGCTTTGAAGCTACTTGAAGGGTAAGCAAGTGAGCCGTACAAGAGCTCGCTGTGATCGAGCTGCCCGAGCTGCCGTATTGTTTTGCAGGTAGGCCTCAGTTGTCTCCTTCCTTGCGCCTGTGCCGCCATGATGCGCAATCTGATGGTGCTCCTTGTGGTGGGCGCTTTGGCCGACAAGGCCGAGCAAGCCGACAAGCCACAGGCAGAGGCAGTCGAGGCAGCCGAGCAGGGTGAATTGAGTGCTGGCCCTGGCGAGAACAGCTCCTAGAACTTTGTCTATTGCAATTGCGGCCTCTCATGTGTGAAGCAAGTGGACAACTGGTACATCTTCAACTTGGGCCAAGCCTGTGCCTGCAATGCCTGCCCCGAAACCAACTCAACAGAGGCAAAGCTGCGAGGCGCAAAAGCGGTCCCGTCCTCTCCGTCCTCTCCGCCCGTTCCGTCCGCTCAGTCCAAGATGGCTTCGCTGGAAGCTGTGCCTTCGACAAAGAGCGCACCGACCGGGAGCAAAGCAAAGACCTGGGACGGCGCCACCATGCCGGGCAGCAACCTCTTGTACTGCAGCTTGGCATTGCCAACATTCGCATGTTTTGGGTTGCTTGTTTTTTTTTTTTTTTTTGTGAAGCCACCAGGGCAATCGGCTCGTGTTACCTGCATGTTGCTTGATTTTCAACGCGAGCGAGGCCAGTGCGGCAAGCAGTGCGTGGATGGACGAATGCTTGGCCTGTACACCTACTATTGCTTTCGCTATGGTTGCAAAGCCTGCTGAGTGATAGGTGAGCTGAGGTGAAGTACAGAGAGCGGTAGCTTGTATCAACTGGACAGGACCTGTACAGATAAGATCTTGTGATGGGGTACTGCGGGGGGGTGTAATCACGGCAAGAGCCATGTGCACCCTGTCAGCAGCATTTTGTAGCAGGGCGAGCATCAAGACTGCCCGGCTTTCGGTACAGGATGGTCGCTTTGCAAGACCACTGCAGGACCATTGCATGACCATAGCGTGGCTTGCTACACCAGAAGTCGCACGTCCCGTGCGCATGAAGACCCTTGTAAAGATGGAGGCTGCGCAACAGCTTGCATCTTGCATTTGGTGCAAATGCGTCTGGCGCAAAAGAGGGTCCAGGCGCGAGCAGCTTTGGGGGAATATGGCCCGGGCACTGCAGGGATCCACAAGATGGGGTCATGCCATCCACAGGCCTGGCCTCATGGGGTGGGGGCGCTTTGAAGCTACTTGAAGGGTAAGCAAGTGAGCCGTACAAGAGCTCGCTGTGATCGAGCTGCCCGAGCTGCCGTATTGTTTTGCAGGTAGGCCTCAGTTGTCTCCTTCCTTGCGCCTGTGCCGCCATGATGCGCAATCTGATGGTGCTCCTTGTGGTGGGCGCTTTGGCCGACAAGGCCGAGCAAGCCGACAAGCCACAGGCAGAGGCAGTCGAGGCAGCCGAGCAGGGTGAATTGAGTGCTGGCCCTGGCGAGAACAGCTCCTGGAACTTTGTCTATTGCAACTGCGGCCTCTCATGTGTGAAGCAAGTGGACAACTGGTACATCTTCAACTTGGGCCAAGCCTGTGCCTGCAATGCCTGCCCCGAAACCAACTCAACAGAGGCAAAGCTGCGAGGCGCAAAAGCGGTCCCGTCCTCTCCGTCCTCTCCGCCCGTTCCGTCCGCTCAGTCCAAGATGGCTTCGCTGGAAGCTGTGCCTTCGACAAAGAGCGCACCGACCGGGAGCAAAGCAAAGACCTGGGACGGCGCCACCATGCCGGGCAGCAACCTCTTGTACTGCAGCTTGGCATTGCCAACATTCGCATGTTTTGGGTTGCTTGGTTTTTTTTTGTTTTTGTGAAGCCACCAGGGCAATCGGCTCGTGTTACCTGCATGTTGCTTGATTTTCAACGCGAGCGAGGCCAGTGCGGCAAGCAGTGCGTGGATGGACGAATGCTTGGCCTTTACACCTACTATTGCTTTCGCTATGGTTGCAAAGCCTGCTGAGTGATAGGTGAGCTGAGGTGAAGTACAGAGAGCGGTAGCTTGTATCAACTGGACAGGACCTGTACAGATAAGATCTTGTGATGGGGTACTGCGGGGGTGTAATCACGGCAAGAGCCATGTGCACCCTGTCAGCAGCATTTTGTAGCAGGGCGAGCATCAAGACTGCCCGGCTTTCGGTACAGGATGGTCGCTTTGAAAGACCACTGCAGGACCATTGCATGGCCTCATGACCATAGCGTGGCTTGCTACACCAGAAGTCGCACGTCCCGTGCGCATGAAGACCCTTGTAAAGATGGAGGCTGCGCAACAGCTTGCATCTTGCATTTGGTGCAAATGCGTCTGGCGCAAAAGAGGGTCCAGGCGCGAGCAGCTTTGGGGGAATATGGCCCGGGCACTGCAGGGATCCACAAGATGGGGTCATGCCATCCACAGGCCTGGCCTCATGGGGTGGGGGCGCTTTGAAGCTACTTGAAGGGTAAGCAAGTGAGCCGTACAAGAGCTCGCTGTGATCGAGCTGCCCGAGCTGCCGTATTGTTTTGCAGGTAGGCCTCAGTTGTCTCCTTCCTTGCGCCTGTGCCGCCATGATGCGCAATCTGATGGTGCTCCTTGTGGTGGGCGCTTTGGCCGACAAGGCCGAGCAAGCCGACAAGCCACAGGCAGAGGCAGTCGAGGCAGCCGAGCAGGGTGAATTGAGTGCTGGCCCTGGCGAGAACAGCTCCTGGAACTTTGTCTATTGCAACTGCGGCCTCTCATGTGTGAAGCAAGTGGACAACTGGTACATCTTCAACTTGGGCCAAGCCTGTGCCTGCAATGCCTGCCCCGAAACCAACTCAACAGAGGCAAAGCTGCGAGGCGCAAAAGCGGTCCCGTCCTCTCCGTCCTCTCCGCCCGTTCCGTCCGCTCAGTCCAAGATGGCTTCGCTGGAAGCTGTGCCTTCGACAAAGAGCGCACCGACCGGGAGCAAAGCAAAGACCTGGGACGGCGCCACCATGCCGGGCAGCAACCTTTTGTACTGCAGCTTGGCATTGCCAACATTCGCATGTTTTGGGTTGCTTGTTTTTTTTTTGTGAAGCCACCAGGGCAATCGGCTCGTGTTACCTGCATGTTGCTTGATTTTCAACGCGAGCGAGGCCAGTGCGGCAAGCAGTGCGTGGATGGACGAATGCTTGGCCTGTACACCTACTATTGCTTTCGCTATGGTTGCAAAGCCTGCTGAGAGCGCTGATAGGTGAGCTGAGGTGAAGTACAGAGAGCGGTAGCTTGTATCAACTGGACAGGACCTGTACAGATAAGATCTTGTGATGGGGTACTGCGGGGGTGTAATCACGGCAAGAGCCATGTGCACCCTGTCAGCAGCATTTTGTAGCAGGGCGAGCATCAATACTGCCCGGCTTTCGGTACAGGATGGTCGCTTTGAAAGACCACTGCAGGACCATTGCATGGCCTCATGACCATAGCGTGGCTTGCTACACCAGAAGTCGCACGTCCTGTGCGCATGAAGACCCTTGTAAAGATGGACGCTGCGCAACAGCTTGCATCTTGCATTTGGTGCAAATGCATCTGGCGCAAAAGAGGGTCCAGGCGCGAGCAGCTTTGTTTGTGACTTTTCTTTGGGACGTTCCTCTGCTCACACAGTACATATGAACCGAGCCTCCAGATTCGGCCACGAGCTCTGCAAAGAGTCTGGCTGCGCCTACCTCGCCGGGGGGCTCAGCTTTGTGAAGTTGACGCGGCCTGGTGCTTGGCCGCTTTTTGAATGCCAGTTGCTTTTCTTTTAGGCAAAAGTTTGTGCCAGGTTGGACGGCACTCTGGCCAGGGAGCGCGGCTCTGCGCGTCTCTCAGAGAGGTTGAATTTGCTCTCGGGATTCGGCATGCTCCCAGGTCGGGGAGGCTTGCGAGCGCCAGCGTCTTGAGATGCACGTGTAGTACGTGTAGGATCCGGATCCCTTGGAGGTCAAGTGGAGACTCAAAGGAAACCAGTCATGTGGGACGATGCTTAGCGTTTTTGTGAGACTGTGAATACGATCAAAGGATGCTTTGAACGCTGCACCGCTCATGACCTCATGTGCGCTCTCAATAGCCATTGCACGGAAAGGCTCTTCTTTGTTACTTCTCGATAAGGCCCATTTTTTTCCCGTCCTCGGATGTACTGAGGTTCCGCGCAGCTCCTGCGACATATTGCTGCTCAGGCACCATGGTAGCCCGTCCAACTTGCATTCCACTGGAACTTAAAGGACAAGAGCCAACCATTTCAACAACGGTAAAGAACAGCCCTCAACCGTTTAGACGTTCGCTCTTGAAGATCCCATCTGGCGGCAGGAAACCTCCAGCTAGCTTGGTTAGCTTGAAGGCGGGTATCCTCTCAAAACAGTTTGCCATCTTAGCAGCTGGCTCTACCAATCGCCCCTTTCATTCCTCGAGGGGTTTTCAATTTTGACAGGTAACTCGTGCATGGTGAAAAGTTTCTTTTTGCCGGAGTGATCAGTCATCCCCGTCTTTGAAGGGCGCTTTGCCTTCCCGGACAGGGGGGGGGGGGGCATTGTCATTCCGAGAGTCCCTCATTTTGAGCACGGCCAGTCAAGCACATACTTTTGACAGCCATGACCAAAGGCTTGGGCCAGAGCTCTATGCTGTACACCAATGCAAAGAGACACATTGGGGTGGAAACTGTGTTGGTGGAGGTGTGGTACACAGCACAGGGCCATGGGCCAACCTTGTCCAAATTCCTGCGAGACTGAAACACCAGCAGATTGAGTCGCAAGTACTCGTCCGCTTTTCGGGAAGCCACAAATATGCCATTCGAAGTCTTGGTGCGTCTGTTTCGATCCCCCAACATGGCATCCGTTTTCCGTTTTGGATTTCCTTGAAACACCACAGAGGGGCGAGCCCCAACACAAGGAATCACATGGCTTCCAGAAGTCTCTGGGCCCGAGCCGGTGAGGTCACCGGGAAGGAGCTCGCGGAGCTGCGGAGTTTCCGGAACCCCCCGGCAGTAGTGTGCCAGGTGCTCGAGGCACGGGGCTGCGAGTCGTCGGCAAGCCGAAAGGAGCGTCGCCGTGTTGCGGGTTCCCGGTTCGCACACCAAGGGCACGTCGTTTGCCGGAAGCTCCACACAAGAAGACCCAATTCGCGTTTGGTGTGCGGAGAACGGATCGGGTCCCGAAAGGTATTCGGTCCCTTTGTGAAAGGCATTCTTTCGGTTCCCGTCGCTCGATTCTGGGTTAAAGGGACTGTGGAGCTTTCCGAAGTTGTCCCTTCGAAGGCAAACGGCATCCTAGCCGACTGACCTTTTTTCTTGGCCAAGTCTTGGCAGTGACACAACAGAAGGGAGCCCCTTGACATGGGATTCGTGCTTTCTTTTGTGTGTGTTGCTGCTGCTATGACCATGGTGATGGGGTATGTTGAGTATTTCCAACCTAATGATCGAGATGGCTGCGCGCCACAGGGGTGGTGTTGATGATTGTTATGCTGCTGATCTGAAGAACGTTCTCCATTTGTAAGTTTCAGCGCATGTATGTATGCATGCATTCCGTTACAGCAATCAGGATGGCCATTCAAGGCGTCATCATACTCACCATCACCGCCATTCTTCTGCTCCAATCATCCCGCTCCTCCTTATCATTGTCATTGTCATCATCATTGTCATCATCGTCGCCCTCCTCCTCCTCCTCCTCCTTCTCTCATCAGCAGCAGCAGCAGGAGAAGCAGCTTGAACTGTAATACCTGTGTCCTGTTGAACTTGCCTCACCTTGCGGCTGACAGTCTCAAACAATACATGAAGTACAGAGACATGCAGACCTTTTAGGTGAAAGGCATTTTGCCTTTTCGACCTGCAACAAAATAAGTTCTTTCCGAAAGTTGAAGTTCTTGCAGTTCTTGGCCCAACACCGCAAATCCAAGCAAAGAACAGGGCTCTGAGGGCACACCCAGGTTTCGCACCCAGGTTTCACGCCCAGGTTTTGACCACGTTCTGCTCATTGGCATTTGTTAGCCTCCATGGTCGGTCTGAGCCGATGGCGGATGCCCAAAGGTTGGCTTATCGCAGTGGCGGCGAGCTATGGCTGGTATCGGGTGGCGAACGCAGCCTTTGCGGCGTTCAAGAAGCCCGTGGGCTTTTACCGCAGGCCGCTGAGGCCATCGAACTTTGAGGATGGCCCGGACAAGAAGGGGCCTGGGCGGGGTGAGTGGCAGGGCGACGCTGACAAGTTCACGGTGAACTGGGGCGATTCTCGGCCGAGCCCGGGCCCGCAAGGACGCCAAGGCCGCGACTTGCCGGCGTGGCGGGAAGAGGAGGAGGAGGAGGAGCCCTACGAGGCGGATGTGCCCGACGTGCGGCCCAGGCGGCCGCCCAGGCGGCGGCGGAGGCAGTTGACACGGTCGCAGGAGGCCACAGAGGGGGTGGCGCAGGAGTGGGTTCGGCCCAAGGAGGCATGGCGGCCTCCGCTGATGAGACCTTCTTCCTCCGGTCGCTCCGGTGGCTCCGGCTCCGGCTCCGGCTCCGGCTCAGGTGGCTCCGGCTCCGGCTCCAGTCCTCGAAAAGAGAAGAGCCCCAAAGCAATAACGATGGACACCAAGCTGGAGCCGCCAGCCAGGCCCGTAAATCTGGAGGCTATGGCACAGAAGGGCTTGCCCCTGGTGAACCTGTACCAACTTGAGCCGGACGACTTCTACCAGTATCTGATCAGGGAGCTAGGGCTTGAGCGAACGTACGCGAAGCAGATTCGGCATTGGCTCTACGAGAAGGGCGCTCAGGCAGGTTGCATATCACACCCCCATGAGAAGTGCCTACAGTTTGTGAGAAACCTGAACATGTGCATAGGGATTGATCCCAAGTCCTGTCAGCCTGTGCGAAGTGGATCAAGTGTGGTGCGTCCTGGCCCAGGACTTTTCTGAGATATCCATTCCTATGGGCTGGAGTCTCAGACATCTTACAAGCGGACCCCTTCCAAGAGGGAAACATCGGGTATTGGTGAAGCGAATTCCTTCAAAGTGGCTTTCGTGCTTTGATTCTATCCGCCGAGAAGGAGTGGCGCGGGTGGGCCTTGCTTCTTGTGCCAAAGGCCTTCGTAGATCCCTGGCAAAGCTGGCGACCGCAGGCGGGGGTGAGGACGCTCACACAGAAAAGTGTGTGTTTGTGTTTGTGCCCAGAGGCGCTGCAGACTGGAAGATCCTGGCAGAGCGGCAGTCATCTGACGGCACCGTTAAGGCCCTTGGCATGTGAGAGAGAGAGAGTGTGTACAGTAGCGAGAGAGAGAGGGAGAAACAAAACGAGACGTGTATGGGGATGGTGTCAAAGATGCAGAGCCTTTTTATGTCAAGCTTGATCCGGGACAGTCCCATCCATGATCAGATGCAGCAGCCCTTGATTCTATGCGGTAGTCTTCTTTCAGACTAGGTTTGACTATTCATAGCCCAAAGTAGATGTAATTTCCTTATGGCCCCCTTCACGCCACATGCCGTTGGGTTCCTCTGGCTGGTGGCAATGGACACCTTGCGATCTTGTGTTCATTAGTTGGCGGCACGAAATGAATAGCGCTTGAGAGCTTTGAGAGATGCTGCTTCGTTTATGATTTGACTCCGAACTATGAGCTTGCTTTCAGTCACAATAAAAACTTGGTGTCAAAGGGCTCTGCTCAAGGTAAAGAAGTAGAATGGCGGCACGCATTCAGGGTTGGTAGTGTCCCCTACTAACCCTCATCTCTTTTATTGTCGCTCTGTTGGTGTCAAAGCTGCATGGAACTGCTGACTAACCATTTCAAGAGCATTCTGAGACACGCAACACTGTCAGATTGCTTACGGGCTCCCGGACGACAACGCCATCGAGTCCGTGCTGATGCCTTATCAGGCCCGAAAAGATTCGCTTGATTTCCCACTGAGGTTTCTGCATCACAATGTGCAAGAAGAACAAGTCTACCCTTGGGAAGCCCTAAATGAAGCACCCGAATTCGCTGGTTTGCGCGGACTCCGATGCGGACGCAGGACGGCCGCCGCACTGCCTGTATCTCCAGCCAGGCGCAGAACTGCAGGATTTTCGGTTGGGATGGGGTGATACTCTAATAACCGCGATGAAGCACCGCAGGCTTTCCAATCCTCAGAGCAACCTATCCAAATGCTGCCGTCAGGTTGGCTGCGCCATGGGATGCGTTTTCTGCGCTACTGGCCAGATGGGATTCAAGTTGCTTCGCTGCATGTGAGGGGTCCGCTGTCCTCTTTGGAGTTTTTAGTGACTTGAGAGTGCCCGGTTAACCTCTGGTAATTCCTGAATGGTGAAGGATTCTGCCAGTAAGACTAGGTAGTCTCCGCGCACAGACCGAGGGGTAAAAGACAGAATGCCAGCAGAGGTTTTGCCATGCCCGCAGAGGTTGTGCAGACAGACTTCACAGAGAGATGGATAGAAGCTGAGTAGACTGAGATTGCGCAGAGAGATCGCATAGGTAGAGTGCGCACAGAGATGGCGGGCAGAGATGGGACGAATTCCAAATCACTCAGTTATGTTATATCCGAAAAGATGCAACAAACAATAACAACAAACAACTTTTGATGTTAAATAATTAACGTACATTCAAATAAACACATAAGTTGTTTGAAAGTTACTGTGATTTTCAGGCGCAGGGTGGGGCTGAGCCTGCACGAAAAGGCAATTGTCGACTTTCCAGACCCGCAGAAATTCATGTTCTGCTTCACTCGCGAGAGTGAAAGAGTGCATGTTGGCTTTCTGGGAAGCCCCTGTCTCGAGTATGTCGTAAAGGGTTTGCACAAGTCAAACTTGCGCGGTTGTTTCTAGCAAACACATCACACATACTGGACTTGCCAGATCTTGCTTTGAAAGGAGTTGAGATCTTTTCCATCGGGCTGATTTTCTTTCACAGATTGTGCCAATAGTTTGACTTGCGAGCCATTTGTTGTCAAGACAAAATGAACCGAACGGCAGCGGGCTTTTGAATACGACTTGCTCGACAATGCAAGGAGACATCTTACGTCTGCCGAGATCTTTGAGCAGGCAGGAACTGCTGTCAGGATGGCCATCATGATAAGCCCATCCTCAGAACGTTTGAGACCATGTTTTTGCGGGCAAGGTTGAAACCCACACCTCAATCCCCAGTTTGCAGGTGATTGTTCCCCTGCAGTCGTTTTGCAGAAGCCAGCAAATAGGGATCTGCATGGAAAGACATGCCCGTGCTTATACTATTGTTTTTCCACCAACTCCCAACATTTGTTGAAGCTACATTCGCGTTGGCGCATGCGTTGTACTCCTATGGCAGATGCGACTCTTGCCAGCCTGTGTGGTCTTGAAATAGTGGGAGTCAAGAGCATAAGTTATCAGGTTCAGTGTTTTCCTCAAACACGCAAGGTGCAGGAATATGGCAGAAGGCATAAGAAGAGGGACATGTGGGCAACTTACACAACATGAAATGACATGTCCCAAAGCCGGCTTCTTCCCCTTCGAGCGATTTCTTGCAGGCCGCGCGCTTCTCAGCGCGACTGCGACAGAAAGGGCTTCGCCTTTCTTCGGTGGTGCTGCTGGGAATGGGCACCTGGGCAATTGCTGAGATGGGGCGACGCCACAGTTTCGAGGGATGTCTCGGGGAAAGGTATGCGTCAAGAAAGTGGGATGTGGGGCTTTCAGATTTGGATCCCTCACAGAGTTTCACAAGCTTGCGGGGAGGCGGAAAGTTCAGGGAACTGCTTGCGGGGCATTTGATTAGAGTATGTTTGCAAGGCCCGGCAAATCTTGGAGGCCAGGTCTGGCGCAAGGGGAGTAAGGCTGCCGGGCCAGACGCGACGAACGTTTTGATGCACTTGTTTTTTTTGGGTTGGAGGAGATTCCACTTGAGGTGAGCCGCTGGCAAACTTCGAGAACGTGGTGAAAGCTGTGCGGCGAATCAACAAGGAGCTGAATGTTGGCATGCGGCACATCACCATTAGCACCTCAGCCCTTGAACCGGCATCATTTTGACCAGAGTTGGGTATGTGTCACAACTACGGGGGGTGCCATTTAGTGTCTGTTGGAACTAAGGTCAAAAAGGGTGTGTCTTCCCCCAGATAGCCTTAGCTAGAGGTTCTTACTCTAAAGAGGGGGGTTGTTTGGCAAAATCGGGTGCTGGTCAGGGGTGCTGGTCAGGGGTGCTGGTCAGGGGTGCTGCTCAGGGGTGCTGGTCAGGGGTGCTGGTGCTGTTTGTGTTGCTTTAGTTTACTTCGAAAGACAGGCTGCTTTGCAAGTTCATGCCAGTGAGGGTGCTTTTTGATGTGCTCAAAAAAGGTGCGGTGGCAGTTGCTGGGCAGTGTTTGTTTGGCGATGCAGGCAGGGTGCTGTTGTGTGTGGTGGTCGGGTGCTGGTCAGAGTGCTGCTTGATGCAGTCAGGGTGCTGGCCAGGGGCTGTTGTAGTTTTTCATGCTATTTGGGGTCTATGCTGGTGTATTCTTTTGGGGGTACCCCTTAAAAGGGTGGCTTTTGTTTCTGGGGGGACACATTGGGAGTGCACACTTGTGTGTGTGTGTGGGTGCGTGCGTGCGTGCGTGCGTGCGTGGGTGGGTGGGTGGGTGGGTGGGTGGGTGGGTGTGTGTGTTTGTGTGTGTGTGTGTGTGTGTGTGTGATTTTGCAGCTTTTTCCAATTGCATTTGGATGATTCTTCTGCCAGCACATTCCTAAACAAAGCCAGTTGAAATATAATTTAAAACACCCTAAACACTTCGAGAAATCCAAAAACAAAACAAATCAAAAAGACCAAGATTGCAGACCCCAACTCCCCCTTGCTTCTACCTTGGGATCTGCAAACTTGTTTTTTCTTTTATGTTTCTAGAGTTTTTTTTGGGTTTCCCCGCTGCTTTACTTGCATTTGAAGCATTCTTAAGACAATGCGACCTATTTGTGCAGCTTTGCTTTAGCAAATCGCATTCCCCTATACTCTGAGTAAACTGTGTTCAACTGTTTGCTGTTTTGGAAAGACAGTTCTATTGGAAAGGACACCCTGTGTAACATTTAATTTAATTTCAATGGAATAATCAGTATTGAGTTCCAATTTAGAATAGCAATTCTGATTGTGGCCTTTACCTATTGAATTCTATCTCATTTCAGATAGGCATTGAGTCGAGTATAAACAACTATTCTGTAGAATTCATAAAGAAAGAATTCAGTCCTAAGATCGTGTGGCCCCACACCTACCATGGTCACAAAAACAGTAAACCACATTGTTTTGCAGCGTTGTGAGTACTCATTTCGCATCTGCGATGTGAGTTTGAATAGGATTTATATGGGACTCAAATAAAGAAATACTTGATCATAATTCTACCGGACATCATATCTTGAATTTGGAATTTAGATAGACATCTCCCAATGGCACTTTACAATTTAAACAGAATTTGACCAGGAAATAACCCACAAATCATGTCCATGTCATAATATAATTTAGATTTGACTTTGTTCTATTTCAAGTTAGATGTTGCACAGGAGTTTCTTTGCAATCAACATCCTCTACAAATCAGTTAACATGTAAAATCAAATTATTCAAGCGTAGGTTGACTGGAGTTTTCATTCAAACTGTGAAAAAAGCACGCTCAAAGCGTCCCGCTCTCGTTTTTGAAATGTACCAACAAGCGCACTCCCACAGTGTCCTGCTCTCTAGAATAACTCAAACAAGGCGTACCCTCAAAAAAGACGAGCCATCCGATTTAGAAGCCAATTTTGCTGTCTTGCTATGGACATGAGGCACTGTCGGCTTGGTGCCACAGATCAAGAAACTGGCGGAGGACCCGTGTGCCGGTCCACCTGGTAAGGATCGCCATGACCCAATCGGCCACGGGAGTTTGGACCATGGCTCACATGGACTTGGAACCTTTTTTTGGGGGAATCCTGTGTTGGTCGGGTTGAAAGGGTAAGGAGGAAAACCGGTTTGCCCTTTTGGGGGGTCCCCTAAAAAATGACACCCACATCATGTTTCCTGGGGTTTGCGCTTCTCGAGAGCGCGCTTTGGAGGAAGGGCTGCAGATTACCCTGGCCATTTCGTTGCATGCAGCGAACGATGAGGCATCGGCATTGGGGCGTCAAAGCACATTCCTCGCATGTTTGCTTTCACAGCCCATCCAAAAGGTGTGCGACATTTTCGTGCAGCCCCGGGTCTTGCTGTTGAATACTAGACGACATGGGGCCCCACACACCAAGTTACCTAGGCTTCATGTGCAGAGGGGATAAATTGGCAGAGGGCCTTAGCACTGAGGAGAGGAGTAAGCTGCTACCCGTGAACCAGCGCTACCCTGTCGCCTCCGCCTGGGCCCCGCGAATTTGTCGCGTTGGGGATCACGAGCATAGCCCTTCCCCATGGGGAGTTTCGATGGATAAAATCACTCCCAGGTGATGCAGGCTGCGCGGGAATACTATGAGGCGCCAGATCTTCTGAGGATGTTCGATTCAATCTGAACATGCCAATCGTGAAGTTCGGCATCTAGTTTCTTTGTCGAGAGGTTGTGACATAGACAGTTTTGAGACCTGCCTTCATGTTGGATGGATTTAGAAAGTCTACAAAAAGGTCGGTGGATGGTTTTTCTTGCTTCGTATTGCCAACTTTCATCCCGCCGTCGGTCGCCAAAACTCAACTGACATTTGTTGATGTTGCATTGAAAGGCCACGAGCCGCCGGGTGTCGTTTGAGTGGACGCTCATCGCCGGTGAGAATGCGGATTGCTCAGTGCATTTCTCTCTCTTTCTTTCTTGCTTTTTTTTTTCTTCTCTCTCTGTCTCTCTTTTTTCTCCACTCGTTTGAGATGCACCAGCGCTTTGTGATGGGCAGCTCGGCCTGCCTGGCGGAGCGGGCCGTGCCCCCCAAGCCAAGGACACGCCGGAGAAGGCTCAAGAGCTGGGGAAGCTCATCTACGTGAACTGTCCCGGCCAGACGCCCAGACGCCCAGGTCAACATGGCCTTTGGTGCATTTTGCTCGGATGTTAGGACTTTAACTTTTTGCCAACTCATGGGTTTTCCATTACACCACTGAAACTTAAACTTGTAGCAGGGGAGCAGAAAGCAACCGAGGTGGCCGGTTTCTTTTTGGCTCGAAAAAGAGCCAAGAAAGTCCCCAGGTGGAAGTTTGGGTCGTGCGCTCGCACAGGAATAGAGTTCTTGTGCTGTCAAGGCTCTCATGTGAACCTCATTCCGCTCAATCCGACCAACGGCTATGCCGGCGGCCCTTCGCAGCGCCAGGCCTTTGTGAAGCGATTTGTGGGGCGCACCCCAACCCCAAATCGAGGGCTGAGACGGATGAAAGACCTCATCGTCCAGCCAAATGGCTCAAAACCGATGTTCGGCGCGTCAACCATCCCAAAGGGCCTGTGCGCTCTGCAGGCAGTGGCCAAGTTTGTAGACACACTCCGCCAATTCGGAGTGGAGGCAGGCAACGCAGTTCTTATGGCCTCGCTGAGATGTTTTGGCGCTGGCCAGTTACGTAGCGGGACTGTGTCAACATCATATTCAAAGGGGTCCAATATGAGACCAATATCATTTGGCAACCCAACTGCCATGTGAGCGACCAATAAAATCGTCTTTGTGAATCAGCTGACCAAATGGATGGGTTCCGGTTCCTAGTTTGACACATTCCCCAGTGGTGCTTGCCCCGTTTTGACGAAAGCTTTGGTCTCTCGGGGCAGGCGACAGTGCGAGTTCGTCGAGGAATCGACATTGATGCTGGCTGTGGCCAACTAGCAGCCGTGCCCTTATCAGCTCAAAGCAAATTCCTGACAAACTCTGGAATTGAAAGCGTCGTTTGCCTGCAAGCCGCAAGCACTAAGGAGCGTGCTCTTCAGGAGTACAACTCCTTGTCACTCCCAGTCGAGGTGCGTGGATTCGACAAAGCTTGGCGCTGTGGCCCACGATTCTCTGTCGCCAGGCTTGATGCGCAGTGCGCGCGGTTAGATGCAGTTCCCATGAAGCAAAAAGGAGTGCTCGTGGTTGAAGACGTTGCAACCAGTTGTGAGGCAATGCGCTGTTGGTGTCCTAGCTTTAGGGAGCAGACACAGCACCTATTTCGTCTCAAAATCAGGAGTTGTCCGGGTTGACATACCCGGGCTAATAGAACATCGGAGAAATTCAACCCGGGCTTGAAGAAAACACAACAGCATTAACTTGTGTGATGCAGAACCTTCCCGTTGGAGAGTTCAGTTTGCAATGCAGACCAGGGCAGCAGGTACTTTGTACCACCCACTCAAGAAACAGAAACATTCATGAGATCTGAGAGAGGGTTCCAGTTAGATCAAAATCATTTGCCAGGAAACCCGTTTCATGTATATTTTTGGGACCTGCTTGACCGATTCGAGAGGCGGTGGCTGTGATCTTGGGCCTTGCTGACACTCGCTGGTCCTCTGTGCGGAAGCTGTCAGGATGCCGAGTTGCCATGCACATTTAGAGCTTCAGGCTTGATGTTTTGGCCGGTTGCCAAAAGATGGGGATCCTTCTTGGGATCCACTTTTCCTTCGGTGCTATCTTGAAGGGATTCTCGAAACTACTGGTGACCCAACCTCGGTATTTGCGATCATCGTAATGCCGAGAGACTCCCCACCAGTGGCCGACTTGGATAGCTAAAGGCTATAGATCATAATTTGAGGCCACCATAGCCCGACCCTGACAGCCTGCCGGAATGAGCAATCGCGCTGTAAAGAGTATGACATGGCAACTGCCCAGTCAACGCTCGTGCAAACAGCAGTGATGAGTGCTTGTCGTAAGTATTTTGTCTCATTCCCTGTGGTAGCTAAGGCTTGACAGCAATCTGCTGTCGCGCTTAAGCACGTCAGGGCCTTAAAGATGCAGTCCAAAAGCCATATCTGTGGTCTGTGATCTGCCGAGAGCGCATGCAGACTTGCAGAGTGCTTGCAGTGCATGAATGCCGCAGCATTGGCAGAATCATGGCCCAGCAAAAAAACATGAGATGGACTACAGAGTGGACAAGCCTGGGAAGTCAAAGCGCTCCCTAAGTTGAGCCAAGCACTTCTCTGAGCATCAAGATGGTCCCAGATGGTGGTTGCGAGTCCAAGCTTGCGACAATCCCCTGCAAAACATGACGTCGCCAGCTGCGCAGCGCTTGCCACGACTGTTGGCCCTCTCTTGTGCTGTCTACGACGCTTGGGTGCAGATCCGCTTGATTTTCTTCTTTCAAAAGACCTTCTGCATTGGAGAACGTGAATTTCGGATCAGTGAATCCCCCGGTTGGGAGGAATTGCTTTTGGACGTCCGGTCAATGCCCTTGCCAAGCTTGATCTAGGCAAGGGTTCCCAATGCATCGAGCGCAATGCAGGTCCTGCCTTGCAGCTTCGTGGGCACAGAGCCGCGCCCAAAGGCGAAGCCGACGTCCGGTTTTCGGATGGATTTGTTTTCTCCGCTCGTTGACTCGCCTTGACACCTTGAGGGCTTGAGGGGGGGCACCCGAAGTTTGGACGGCCATGTCTGTGGCATCGCCAGATCGGCCGCGGGCGGCTTCCGCGGTGCGCGGAGCCAGAGGCAGAACCGATGCCCTCTTCGATGCGGGCAGAGGCGCAGAGTGTGCAGCGCAAAACGAGAAGTGAGCGTGGCTCGTTCTTTGAGGGTACCCTATTTTGGTTATAAGGGAAACCAGCAGGAAATCCAAAGCCATTTTGGGGGTCCCAAGTAAAAAGTTTTGGAGTCATCCATGTGCCTTGGGTGCAGGACCTCTACGTGGGAAAGTATTACAAAGCCGAGGCAGGGCTTATTGCGTGAGCCGGACATCCAGCCGGACGCGAGAGCGATTTCACGTGCAAGCCATGCAGGTGAGCGGAGTTGGACGCTACGGCGCAAAGCTGAATTTGGGCCTGGATAAGCCAGGCTTCATTCACATAAAGAATATGGTGCTCGCCTGAGTTGTTTGTAGGATGCAAGCTGAGTTTGTGCTCATTGATCTGATGAGAGATAATTGGCACTGGAGTTTGCATCAATTGCTTGTGCCTGCCTCAGGAGGAGGGTCATACCAACAATGCAGAGGACGTGATGAAGATGGGGGACAAAGTTGTTCCACGTGCAGCTTGGTAATATCCAGATCAAACAATTATTATTTTGGTCATGCAGATGACTTGCTGCACAACATGGGATCGAAATTCAGCAGCACAACAACATTCAGCGTGGGTTGACTCAGCACCGAATCGGGTACCACATTGCCTTTAGTAGAGTCAAGCCTCTTTTTGCTTCTCGGTGCTCCCAGGTCTTACAAGTCAAGAAGACCGAAGTGGAGTTTTCGCTGAGAAATCGGCCAGAGTTCGCGAAGAAGCCTTTGTGGGAGTTCAAGGCCGAACCGTGAGCCGCGTGGTGCGCGGAGATGGGCCTAATGCAAGTGGTGTTGCGATAGTTGCAGGTTGGTGGACTAGGAATCTGTTCGTGGAATTTGCTTCAGCTTGCTGCTGTGACCCCTGCCATGGGGAACCAAGAGCAGACCTTTTTTGGGGTTTTCCTGTTTTTTTTCAGCCAACTTCCAGGGTCACATATTTGACACGAGATGGTTTGGCGTTCGGCACCCTCTCCGCCAGGGACCATGCAGCACCCATGCGGCCAGGTGGTTGGACGATTGCCTTTATATTTTGCCTGGGAATCCGGCTGGGTCCCAGTCCTTTCCTTTATTCTCTTTCCATCCCCAACAAAAGGCCAGGTGGCCTTCGACCTGTGCAAAGGAAGATGTTGGGCAGGTATTGGTGTTCCCACCCAGAGGTTTGGTGTCCATCGAATCTGCGCAGGTAGGGGACATTCTGGAGGGGAAGGTCATCACTCGACGAGGAAGAGCCCTATTTCTAGATGTGGGTGCCATGGTGGACGCTTACTTGCCCAAGGAGCGCGGCACACAGCAATGTGGGTTGGTCCGGTCGTGTGTGTGTGTGTGTTGAAAGGGAACCGAGAGGAAAACCACCGTGTTTGGGCTCCAAATTCCTGTTTTGCTCATGGTTGTCTAGTGGTTGTGTTCCCATTGTCATGTTCCAAGCCCTGAATTCGAGGGAATCCGAGCAAGCCAAGTAGCGAGCAGCAAAGACAAAAAGCGCGAGGTAAGCCAAGCAATTGAAGCCAGCAATAGGGCAGGGAACATGGCACTCTGTCCAGGAGAATTGGAAGGGAGCCGCCCTCAGTTGCCCGACGGCTGGACTTTCAACAAGTCCGTCCGCTTGTTGGAAGCTGACACGCGTCAGAAATCTGCAAGGTGCAGAGGCGGAACGGGGAGATTCGCTGAAAGTTCAGGTGGAGGAGGTGACGGGCTGCCAAATGACCGTGGCAGTGCCCTAAAGGCGGCTCCGCA